GAAGCGCAGCCCTGGCTGGTGTGGCTCAGTGGACAGAGTGTTGACCTTCAGCTGCAGGTTTCTCCCGGCCCAGGCCCTGGTCAGGGCGTGTGCACGAGGCAACCAATCGATGTTCCTCTATCGATGTTTCTGTTTCTCTCTCCCTCTCTCTAACATCAACGGGTGAGGATTTAAAAGATTTTAAAAAAGGCTCCTCCTGAGAGTCCCCGCCCGCCGCCCGGCAGAGGAACCAGCGACCGGGGAAATGCCCGGAGAGAAGGAAGCAATGAACCCTTCAAGTCCTAAGGGACCTTTACAAACCTATTGTTGTGTGACGGTGTTTGCTCAGAGTCCCCGGCAGCGCCTCAGCCTGGCCCTCCCTCTCGGACCTCCCGTCCCCACGTGTCAGCTCCAGGCCACTGTAGTTTTCCAGGCTTGATTTTTATCACGTGTTGCACTTCGTTTTTTAAAACGTATTTTTACTAGAGGCCCAGGGCACAAATCCGTGCACGGGTGGGGTCCCTCGGCCTGGCCAGTGATTGGGGCCGACGGGGGCCAGCCAGTTGGGGGCAGGGACTGCAGGAGGTTGGCTGTGGGAGCACATTTACCAACAGGGGCAGCTCCTGCATTGAGTGTCTGCCCCCTGGTGATCAGTGTGTGTCATTGTAACCAGTTGTTTGGGCAAAACAGTCGCTTAGGCTTTTATATAGATTGATTTCTGAAAATGAGGAGAGGTAGAAACATCAAAGATGAGAATCATGGATCAGCTGCCTCCTGCACGCCCCCTACTGGGGATGGAGCCCACAACCCAGGCATATGCCCTGGACTGAGAATCAAACCATGACCTCTTGGTTCATAGGTTAACGCTCCACCATGGAGCTACTCCGGCCAGGAACGTGTTGCACTTCACAGCTCTGCAAACTCCTGGTGGGGTCATCCTCGTCTTAGGTCTCCCGTGTGCTGGACACTGTGACCTCAAGATGCAGATTCGGCTGGGGCCCCATTGGTGGGAAAACGCCAGGCGACAAGCACGGTCTGCACAGCCAGTGCCAGGGTGAAACCAGCCATGACTGCTTCTCAAATATCACACTTAAGTGTGTGTACAGAAACCTATCCCTGTGAAATACAAGTACTGCTCTGGAAAACGCTCAAAGCAGATTGAACGCAAATCCAACCCATTTACAATCCGGAGGGAATGCAATGTAAGCAAAGGGCCGTCTGCAGGACTTCTAGCGATGCAGAAATTCGGGTGGATCTGCGCCCAAACCTCGGTATAAAACAGATAGGGTTTTAGACTAGATTTGGGGCATGGGTCTGGCAGCGGGGGCCACGGGAGGGCAGCTGTGGGGGCCCCTTGTGCTGACGGATGCCCGGGATCCTGACGGGATCCGGGTCGATGTGCTGGTTCTATTTTACTCGTTTTTAATGTTATCCTTGGGAAGACTGACCAAGAGCTCTGATGTTTCCTTGTAACTATTGAATTGAGTATAATGATCTCAAAAAAGAACTTAAAGAGGTAATTTACATATCTTCTCTAATCTATGAGCAAAATAAAGTAACTCCTCAATTGCTTTACTTTTATTATTTCTTTAAAAATATTTTTATTGATTCCAGTGAGGGAGAGGGAAAGATAGAAACATCAACGATGAGAATCATTGGTAGGCTGCCTTCTACACTCCCCCCCTCTATACCCCCGCCTCAGGGGATCGACCTGGAACCCGGGGCATGTGCCCTGGCTGGGAATCGAACCTGACCTCCTGGCTCAGGTTGATGCAGGGCCCAATTAAGTTTAGCAATGACACAACCAGAAGGTGGCGCCATTACGACATGACTAGGGGCATCATTCATTTTAAACATCCCATCCCATATAATAAAAGGCTAGTGTGCAAATAAACCGGAACAACAGGTCACTATAATGCACACTGACCACCTGGGGGCGGATGCTCAAGGCAGGTGGTCAGTGTGCTCTGTGGGAGCGCTGCTCAGCCAGAAGCCAGGCTCAAGGCTGGCGAGTGCTACGGCAGTGGCGGGAGCTTCTGCCTCCGCAGCAGCCTCCTGCTCCCCGCTCCCCGTGGGCCTAAGCCCACAGTCGGATCCCCCGAGGGCTGCCGGACTGCGAGAGGGCGTAGGCTGGGCTGAGGGACCCCGCTCCCCCACCCCCCGCCGAGTGCACGAATTTCATGCTCCAGGTCTCTAGTGTCATAATGGAATACTATGATTTTATCAATAGAAATTCAATGCTAACCCCAACTTAGCCATATTTTTATTCCACGTCTTGTGTGAAGCTTGGAATACAATTTTCAAAAATCATCTGAGAACAAGACGAATGCTTTTGGGTCTGAGACGCACAGGCTGCAACTGGAAAGCAGACTCTGCAAGTGTGCTTCCCAGCAGGGTCCGTGTGGGCTGGCACACCCTGCCCCAGGCCAGGAAGACTCCCAGCCAGCCGGGACTCAGCGCCAGCACTGCCCTTGGCACACAGCACTTCCTGCCTGGCGGCGTCCCAGGCTCTGACCAGGTCCCTGGGGGAAAGTCCCAAACACAGCCACCAGTGAGAGGCTGAGGACGGGACCTCTCCTTTTGTAAAAGCAGCAAGTTTAGAACGTTCTTTAAAAAAAAAAAAAAACAGAAAAAAAAAAAAAAAACCCTGCACATATCCTAGGAAGGGAGGGGAAGTGGCACCAGCTCACCAAGATGCCCCACAGGTGCCCGTGGCAGATGCCCGTCACACAGCAACGCCCTGTCCGGCGCTGACCGGGTGTCCGTCCCCGCCTGGTGTCGGGCAGGCCCTGACGAGCGTCCACAGCCCCTGGGCATCCGTGTGCCCTCACATCGTCTTCCACGCAGCTGCACGGCACGCCCCCGGCCACCCACCCAGCTCTGAAGCCGACGGGCACCTTTCTGAGACCACGTTTCCCTGAACACAGTATGTGCGCTTTCCCCCCGACTACTGTATCCATGTGCAGTGTCCTTCGAGGGTCCCAGCAGCCTGCCTCTGCCCACACGTTCATCAGCCGCACCACCGCCCCGCCTTCCCGTTCACAGAGACAGCCAGACACGGGAGGAGGGCGTGGATTAGTTCTGAGCGGTTTATTCTCCTTGTTACAGTGTCCCACTCGGGATTGTACAGACGCGCGTACAGGTAAATGCTGGGAGGCACACGCGTGTCCCCATTCTGAAAGAAGGCATGTTACATGTACAGAAAAATGCAGCCAACAGTAAGGTGTTCAAAGGAATTTCTGACAACTCAGATGTGACATGTTTACAAAGAAAGCATATGCTTTAAAATAATTAAATAATTTTCATATTATTATAAAAGTATTGAGATAAATATCTGAAGACCCCAAAATCACAAGAATGTTTTCCTATGCTATTGAGTACAAGGGTAGTTCCATAAAAAGACCCAAAATAGATAGTATTCTGTCACTATGAAAAACATCAAATTATCAAAATATGAGAAATAAACATGCGACGCGGAAGTGGTACCGAGACCTGCCGCAGCCCGCCGTCCACGCCGGCACCAGGGCGCTGGGGCCTCGGAGCCGCCGGCACAAAGAATAAAAAGTGAGAGCTGCTCACCACCTTCCCCTCCATCACTTCGGATGGAGATGCAGAGAAGGAAACTAAACAGACGTGGACATCAGCTTATTCGTCAGGAGGTGTGCTCTGTAAGTAGTGTCATGGACAGTGACCTCACCCACCAGCACAGGAGTCTCTTTCTCAGACAAGAACTCACCTCAGAAAATGAGGGGACGACACGGGACATGTATGAATTCAGAACAAACAGGACTGGTAAATGGTAAAATGTCACAAAAATAGCAGCATGTGAACTCAAGAGTCTTTCCTGAAAGCAAATGTTTACGAGGAACAGCCAGCGGCACCTGCTCCGAGGGGGTTCAGCGCCTTGGGCGGGCAGAGCGCTCTGCAGAGGCGCTCGTGTTTGTTTACGCTTTCAACCCCAGGACAGCGTGGACTGGCGTGTGTTCTGGAACACAAACATTGCGCAGGCAGTGCACATCAGCATCTGGTCTCCCGAATGTAAGGTGATGCCGCACTCAGCCCAGGGTTAAACCCATCAGGCAGGACTGAGCAGTGACGAGGTGGCCACAGGCACTGGAGTAGAGGCTGTTGGTGACAGCCGAGGCCAATTGCAGAACTAGGGAGGAAGCCTTACATATGAACCTGGGGTCTCCCTCGGACTCAACACAGAAATAAGAACATGGTACAAACTTGCATAGGAAAACCAGGTCTCCACATGATTTCCGCTGAATTCAGCAATGACTACTGCAGCCTTATTTAACCTTTTTCAAACAGACGTCCAATAGACAGCTTTTAAAAAATCTACTTTCCCCTTTTCTCCACCCAGCACAGCTCACACCCTCCCCAACAGACCAGGACACCCTCTGGGTGAGACGCACACACCTAGAGACCCAGGGCCAACCCTGTCCCGTCAGACCCGCCCGCACCCTGGGATGGATCACAGCACCAGACATCGGGGGCTTAAGTATCTGGCAATTTTCATTCAATAACATTAACCAGCAACAATGTGTCAATATTGATCATCTAAGAGGAAGTCATAGGAGCAATTTTTTTAAATGACCGAGATAACTAATAAGCATTTTTAATGTTTTAAGGAGATAAAGATGTAATGATCAAATTCATTAGAAAAAACATCACACGCACGTTTTCATCACCCAAATGAGGCCGCACGACCGTGGGACAGCCGAGAGGAGACTCCACTTCTTTCCTCCAAAAGGCGCCGCGGAGCGCTGGCCGCGCCCAGGCCTGGTGCACCGGCTCAGGAGCACGTCGAGGCCGCGGGCAGGCTGTGCAGGCCTGTGACCATCATCTTTGGCTGAAGCCCCAGGAGAGGGGAGCTGGCACAGCGGCTGCCGAGCGTCCGGCTCACACGTCACTGACCGGCAGGCTCGCGTCGTCCAAGTCCAAGTCCAAGACCGTGGGGCCGCACTGGCTCTCCCGAGGGCCGTTCCTGCCGGGCAGGGCGGGCAGGGTGCGTCCGCTCACTTTGGAAGCTGGTTCTCTTGCAGGGACAGTCTGGACCTTGAAGCTCCCTGGCTTGACCTTGGCAAGAGACTCGCAAAATCCTCGCTTCTCCAGGGCAAAGCTTGAGACCAGAGAGCTGCTGCGAGCTGCGGCGGTATGTGAGGCGGGGGCTCGGGGCGCGGGCCGGGGCTCGGGGCCACCGGGCTGCTCCTGGAAGGGAGTGGGGTCAGACACGGTCAGTCACACACACACAGTCAGGAGCTCACGTGAGGCTTTACTCTGAGAAACACACACACACACAGAGCAGAAGCGTGAGCCATGCAGCAAGCGTGCACACGTTCTCCAAGCCAGGTGCGTGCAGAGCGAGTGAAGCGTGGCGGCACCCTCGCTAAGGAGCAGCTGTCCCACGGGCACTGGGAGCCGACCCAAAGGCGCAGCCTGCCGGCGAGGGCAAGGCTCCATCCAGCGCCCGCTCGGCTGGGCTGCTTCGTTTCAAGTCCGCGGTCAGGCAGCATGAGGTCGGCCACTCGCTCTACGTGCCCAGCACCTAAATGCCCTGCGACACGAGCACAGCCTGTGCTCGCTGTGTACCTGCCTGTCTAGCTCTGAATGCCATGCTTTCGTCTGGCTTAAGGTGTCAGGGAGTGGCCGGGTGTGACTGCGATCTCAGTTCGCTCCGGCGGCCTCAGACCTGCAGGCCTCGGCACAGCTCCCAGTGCGCTGTGCTCGTCCCCGACCCCGTGGTCCGGGAACAAAGTGCTGCCAGTTCCCCAGGGACCGATGCCCGCGGGAGGCGGGAGGTCACCGAGACTCAGTGCTATGCAAACTACAGCCGAGTCCGTCCGACACCCGGGCATGCAGGACTGCACACGTTAGGCCGAGGATGCGTGCTGAGTGGTGTCATATGAAAATGTCAAAACAGAAAACACGGGCGCTGAGACTGGCATTTCCACCAGCTGAGTGTTAGGCGACAGCGCCCGTTGGCCAGGTTGTTTCTCGCTATCTTTCTGCTCCTCCGACCTGAGGGCTGTTAGTGTCACAGGTTACGGCCACTGCGGGAGGCAGTTTGTTAGCTCAACTTCCTAGGACGGACGGTGAGAAGGGAGTGAGAAGGCACGTGCGCGCCCACATCCGTGCCCGTCCCCCCGTCCTGGGTGTGTACCTCTGAACACAAGGGTTCGACAGCCGCCTGGCCTGCCGCATCTGGAACACAGTGCAAAGCTGGTTAGAGTCCACCTACCGAGAGGAGCCTGAGCGGACAGTCCGCGCCCGCCACCAGCACACACACCCTCCCGTTCTCTCCTGCAGCATGCTCCCAGAATCCCACAGCGACTGGAGCCACAGGCACAGCGGTGGCCGGGAAACGCCGGGAAGGGACTCTGACAGTCCAGAGAGGGCAGGAGAAGGCGTGATTAAGAAGTGAGGAAGGTAGCCGAAACTGGTTTGGCTCAGTGGATAGAGCGTGGACCTGTGGACTGAAGGGTCCTGGGTTCGATTCCAGTCAAGGGCATGTACCTTGGTTGCGGGCACATCCCCAGTGGGGCTGTGCAGGAGGCAGCTGATAGATGTTTCTCTCTCACCGATATTTCTGGCTTTTTATCCCTCTCCCTTCCTCTCTGTAAAAAAGTCAATAAATTTTAATAAATAAATAAATAAATAAATAAATAAATAAATAAATAAATAAAAGGAGTGAGGACGGTAGATTTGTACGAACTGGTCTGTGGTGACTACAAGCAGGAAACCATTAAAAGGAAATGTTACCGCCCGGCCAGCGCGGCTCTGGGCCTGAGCGTCGACCTGGGAACCAGAAGGTCACGGTTCGATTCCCGTCAGGGCAGATGCCCAGGTGGCTCGATCCCCAACGGGGGTGTGCAGGAGGCGGCCGGTCCACGATTCTCTCTCATCATTGATGTTTCTCCTCTCTCTCCTCCTCCCTTCCTCCCTGAATTAAATAAAAATCCATTAAAAAACAAAAGGCCGCGTTACACCAGGGAAATGCATCATGTGACCATGTTCCTCATCGGCCCACGTCCTGAGGGCACCTCGCGATGTCCTCACGCCTCGCCCCTCGGAGCCCAGAGACGAAGGGGGTCTGGAAGCAAACCTGACTCCTGTGCTGTACCCGGACGTGGAAAGTCACATTTAAAACATTCTCCTTACTGTCTGAGCATGTCTAGCTGCTTTAACGTTCCCGTGACACTACCACAGGCTAATTAAGACGGTAAACGAAGGCAGCCTTTCCAACTGGTGGGCAGAACCTGGGTAGGCCCTGAGCTGACACCCGCCTGTGAGCCATCGGGGCAGAGGTTCCGGCCGCTGGGTGGTCAACGTCACCGGAAGCTGAGCGCAGCGGCTGCAGGGCCTTCCTTCCCTGGCCAGGCCCCACCAGCACCAAGAACTGGCTGCTGTGCCAACCAGACTGCCGGGAGGACCTGACACAGGCAGGGAGCCTCCACCCGTCCCGCCGTGCAGGGGAGACGGACACCGCAGCAGGAGCTACGGATCCGACCGCCACGGGGAGCACCCGGGGGTGTGGAAGTCACCGTGAGTGAACCTCACAGGGAGGAAGCCGGGAGGCTGAGGGAGAGGAAGTGACGGGACGGGGACACGTACAGAAGTCGCCGACCGGCCCGGCCCGCGCTGCGCCACGATGGCCCCGGACACGGCTCTGATCCAGCTGTGCATCTCCTCGGGGCTGTCGGCCTGGGGAGAGAGGGCGCGCTCAGGCAGTTTCCCCCCCGGCCCCAGGTCTAAGGCCCAGCCACAGCAAAACCCTCCACAGCAAAACCACTGAGACAACTCCCATCGGGGCCGCCCGGACCCACCCCAAGCAGGGATGGAACCCACAACCCTTTTGGGATATGGACGACGGTCCAACTGAGCCATCCACCCGGACGCACGATATGTCATGACTCCACTTGTTACACAAACATATGCCGTCAGAAAGGCAGTGAAAAGAGAATGCTTGCCTGAACGTGGGATTCTGTGTTTTATAAACCACCCTTTTCTTCACATTTCTCTATAATTTCTAAGTGTTCTGCAATAAGCATATGTAAGTTTTATAAAAGAAAAACAAATTGTTTTTTAAAAATTCCAACCTGATTAATACGATGAGCTAAGAGTCTGTTTTAAACTTAGAGGCAGATGCCTGTCTGCCATCATTGAAACCTAACCTCTGCTGCCCACTCTGATCATGTATCAATTTTACAAAAGTACAAAAAATGATGCACCAAAATTCCAAAATAAGTGCAAAGTAACCCGAGTTCAAAGTACACACTTAGCTTCTAAGTAAAATAGATTTCCCTTCCTCCAAACACTACTTAGTTCTACTCAACTAACTCACAGCAAAGAGCACCCTCTTTTGCTGAACATGACCTACCAATGATTTCACACGTAACACTTTGTGACGAACTGTCAGGTTGATGGGGATAAAAGGGGACATATGTCATATTCTCAACAATGATTTTAAAAAACTAGCGGCAGTTGTCATTGTGTTTTGCTTATTCTTATAACCTACAAGTTCATGTCCCTCTAAAATTATTAATTTCCAGTGAAGAGGATCTATAACCTTCTAATAAGTATCTTACCTGCACATAGAAAGTTCGAGATGATGTTACAATTTCAAAGAGGTTGTCCCTCATCATTATGTCACTGTTAACACAAAAAATTTTCAAGTCTTAAGCAGCAGTTGTCTGATAGTTTTTTTCATTTATTTACCCAATACCAAATATCTATAATAATAAAAGTGTAATATGCTAATTGGACAGGACAGCCGAACAACCTCCCAGATGAAGTCATGACGGCGGGGGCTAAGGCAAAGGTGGTTAGGGGTGACAGTGAATTTGTTCAGAATTCTTAGATTCAAGATTGCTTTAGACCAAATAAACTTTTGGATTTTTATTAATATCTTGGTTCCAAGACAGATGATGTTAACTTGTATAACTTGTATAAGGCAGGCATGCAAGTGGTTAGGGGCGAGCAGGCAGGCAGGTGAGTGGTTGGCACGCAAGTGGTTAGGGGCGAGCAGTTAAGAGCCAGCGGTCCTGGATCGCAAGAGGGATGTCCGACTGCCAGTTTAGGCCCGATCCTTCAGGGAACAGTCAGACATCCCGAGGCGTCTTGGATTGTGAGAGTGCAGGCCAACTTTTATGCACTGGCCCTCTAGTGTATCAATAAGAAAATAAGTATGAGGTAAAATACTGATTTAACAAAGCCAAGCTATCAATTTTTTCAACTTCTTTTTGCACTAAAGTTTATATAGTTATATGTATATTTTATTTTGTACTTATTTTTATATATTTGTATTGATTTCAGAGAGGAAGAGAAAAGGAGAGAAAGATAAAAACATCCATGATGGGAGAGAATCATTGACTGGCTGCCTTCTGCACGCCCCTCACTCCCCCCCCCCCCCTCCCCCCGAGGAGGGAGCTCACAACGCTGTCAGAATTGAACTCGGAGGCCTTCAGTTCACAGGCTGACACTCCATCCACGAGTCAAACCAGCCAGGGAATTATACGTGTATTTTCAATAAGCTTTCTATGTGTATTTTCAATATGCTTTAAAATTTAAAGTTTTTAACATGAAGAAATCAGTTTGCATTGCACAATTACTGCATTGCCTCACACAGCTGTTCTGCACCAACCTTGGAATACTAACATGCTAATCACCAACTTGCCAAATATGACAGAAGCTGTTCACATGGACGTTTATCCTTTTCATTAGTAAGTTTAGGATTGACTCCTAATTTTTAGTTTTCAAACAAAAAAAAAATCTCAATCCTTTAACCCGAGGGTTTTAAAGATCTAGCAAATAGCAACTGTAAGAAGGTGAGCAGGACACGAACACAGGAAACGCTCCTGCAGCACGCCGTCCGCCTGCAGGCTGTGCGGGCCCAGCACAGGTGGCTCACCTCTGCTTGCACTCCTGCACCTTGTGCACCTCCTTCAGGGGGATCACACGGAGAGGCTCCTTCTCCTGCGGGGAGAGCAGACAGACAGACATGACGTCTCTTCGTAAAAGCCTCTTCGGCTGTCTAACCCGGGACTCGTGTCACATGAAGCTTCCTGAGTCTGCAGCATCAGAATAGGCCAAATACTGCCCCCAGGAACCAGGCAGCGACACCCAAACACTTTGGCAAATGAGTGCTTTAAGATGAACATTTTTATACAAATGCACTATTTTAAGCACAATTCACCCAACGTTCCTTGGTGCCAGGGCATGTGCTGGAATTTCCCACCACCCTACACACAGGCACTAGTACTCACCTGAGGGACCTGAGGTTAGATATGTGAGCACCTGACCCACGGTTACACCACCAGACAGAAGCCGGGACACAGGCCCTCACTGGCCCTCACAGTACCACCACCACACACACTGTTCCATCACAGACTGACCGCAAGCCGCTGACAGCACAGCTTGACCTGACAAGCTGCTATTTTACAGGCATGAGGAAACACGTGAACCATAGCTGAACACTTTTAAAGTCACAATCTTTAAGGTTTTACAAAAATTCGTCTAAAAATAACTTCCGACGATAACGCTGTATGCCCTGCCCCCTGCAGGGACGTGGTTCCCCTCACAGGTCCCATCGCACAGGAAGAGGAGCAGGTGTGAAGCACAGACCTGCACTCAGTGTCCCTGTCAGGCTACTGCGAAACGTGGGTCACGTGGCAAGGATCCCATATGATAAAGAGCTCATATGCCAATTAGACGGAACAGCAGAACGACGGTCCAGATGAAGCCAGGGCGGCGAGGGCGGCGAGGGCGGCCGGGCTGCGGGGGCCGAGCCACTTGCACAAATTTTGAGCATCGGGCCTGTCGTGTTTGAAGTAAGGATGCTACTCAAACTGAGGAGCAGGAATTTCAATCTTTGATTCCATCTCGTGTGGAGAAACGACGTGATCTGCTCCCCAGGCAAACGTGGAGGGCAGGGCGGACGGCAGGACCGAAGGCTGATGCTGACGCTAAGACCCAGTTCCTTCTGCTGCTGCCTCCGCCTCCAGCCCCGAAGGAAACTGCAGACTGAGGGGTTCTGATGTTCTCAATCCTTTGAAGGTGAAAGTCTCTGAAGATGCCATCTTTTCATTTGCGATCATTTACGATCCATCTACAGAGACCATCCACCAAGCACCACGGCGCTCCTCTTCAACCCCATGCTCACCATCTTACCTGGAGAAAACAGGCTGACAGCACAGACACTGCCTGCAAGAACCGCCCCAGTGTAACGATCCTCCAACCCCTAAAGCATGCTGATGACAAAGTGACGTACCAGCTCGGACTTGAAGTAGCCTATCGTGTTCTCGTCCAATTGGAAGTACCTCCTCTTCCAGTTCTTCATCTACGAGAGATCAGACAGACGTGAGACGCCTCTGAGACGCCCGATGTTGATAGCCACCACCTGCTCTGAAGCGAACCTGCCACGGGGCACGCAGGATGAGGAGTCCGCGCTGCCCGGCCCTGGGGGAGAGACGGAACTTCATTTCTTTCACCATCAGGCCTTGAACTCCTAACTCAAGCACAGTCCTGGCCTCAGCTTTTAACACGATTGTATAATGGAGCTTCATAATTTCAATGCTCCAAAAGTTTAAAAAAAGGGGGGAGGGCACTTCCCCATCCTCCCGCCCCCGCCCCCACCCCCACAAAACAAATGCTCTCACTCGGTCAAGAGCAAGAACAGGAAATGGTATAAAACCACACCACACGTCTCCATCTGCAGGCACTGTGCACTCACTGGCAGGACAACAGATATCAATGGGTATCAATAAAGCGAACCTTCCTATACAAACACTTTGCCAATGACAGGTGGTTTCTGTGAATGCACTTCAGCGTCTCTAGGAGCTGGCATTGCGGACTCCAGAGGAAAACAGAGGAAGGAGATCTGAGAGGCTCCACACCAGCGGCTCAGTCCAAGGGGAGACCCTGCCAGCCCGCACCCCGGCCCGAGCTGAGAGAGGAGGTCGGATGTGGGGATGGAGACCTTCCCTGCGGAGCTGCGCTGAGTGAGGGACGTCCCCGGACCTGCAGGGTGTCAGTCTTTCTTCCCTCAGAGGGTTCACCTCTCTCATTGGAAAACGTTTACTTCCTATGAAATCCTAAAGGTTTAGCTCGCACAGAACGGTCCCTGTAGGAAGGTGCTGCGAGGCCAGAATGCTGATGCACGGCTCTCCCTTCTCCGGCTCCACGGCCGGGCTGGCAGAGCCGGTGCTCCCAAGGACCGGTGCTGGGCGGGCAGACCCACACCTTCCCACCTCGGAGGTGGTTTGTAATGTGAGTTCCCTTCCAGAGAAGCCAGGAGGCTGAGGGGTTAAGGAGGCAAGGCCAGCACCAAGCGGGTGCGGAGAGACGCCCACACGGTGATCCTCCTGGGGGGAGGGGCCAACAGAAACACTTCCCGGAGTAAAAACAACGGCCAGGGGGCCATCGGCCATCCACGGCCGGCCAGGGCACTGCGCACACGGCCCAGCTGCTCACGGAGCCGGCGCCAGAGCTCTGCGGGAAGAGGCCCCAGAGCAGCCTCCCCCCACTCCGCAGCTGCGCTCTGGCCACAGGCCCTGCAGCAGAACCCACTTCCTCTGCGCGCATCGGCCCGCACTCACCACGGCTCCCTGCTTGACACAGTAGCCGGCTTTGATGACGGGGCTGTCGGAGGGCGGTTTCGGGGGGAAGCAGGGGACATGGCTTGGTGACCTTTTCAGGTGGTTTCTGTCAGCGCTCTCCCCACAGTCGCTGGCTTCTTCCTTCTGGAGGGAAGCAGAAGGGAACGTCTTTTCCTGGCGCTCAGCTCAGGGACACGTTAGAGGCCATGCGCCGAGGACGCCGGGGGCACCAGGGGCCGCCGTAAGCACATGCCGACCCGTGTGTGCTGTGCCCGAAGCTCACAGAACAGACGGTGAACTGTGGTGGAAACGCTTTAAGAATCTAAGAAGGGGAAGACTTGTAGGCCAGCTGCCATCCTAGCACATCTTCAGCTCCACCTCAGCCGAGTCAGAAACACAATGTGGAGCTGATTTGAGATGCTTTATGGTAACTGTCCCTCACTGCCCGCACCTGCCTGTCCTCTTGTTCCGCACAGGCTGGCCACCAGCGCTTCTGTGTGAGGGAGGGGACAGTGAGTTTAACTTTTTACTTTGAAATAATTATATAGTCACAGGAAGTTACCAGGTGTATCAGTTAATAATGCAGGTTTTTTTCAATAGATGGATTTACATGTATGTTGATATATATGAGTTTGATATGTATGCTACTTTGTTGTATTAACAGCAAGCTTCAAAACTTCATGTCAAATTTCCTGAAAGTGTTAACATCATAGATATTTTTACACTTAAAAATGTCAAGTTTCATGCCAAAAGAAAAAAAGAGCATTTGCAGGAAGTTTTAATTCATTACTCAATTTTGAAGAAAGTGCTGCTGAAAGTTGTTGTATACTTCAGGAAGCTGATGGTGAAAATGCTCCATCTCAAGACACTTGTGAACGCTGATTTAAACGCTTGAAAAGTGATGATTTCGATGTGAAAGACAAAGAATGTCCAGGACAATTTGAATCACGCTTTGATCATAAAATGAGCAGAATGTGCCAGAAGACACGGCAAAGTAATTCTGCTTCATGATGACGCACCATCACACACTTCAAAACCAGTTAAGGACACATTAAAAGATCTTGACGGGAAGTATTAACCCACATGCTGTATTCATCAGAACTTGCTCCTTCAGATTACAAATTGTTCCGATCAATGACACATGCATTTTCTGAGCAGCATTTCAAAACGTACAAAGAAGTTGAAAATTGGGTCTCTGAATAGTATGCCTCAAAACAAGAAAAGTTCTATTGGGACGGTACCCACAAATGACCTGAAAGATGGGGGAAATGTGTGGCTAGTGATGGACATTACTTTGAACAAAGCACTTTCGATGTTTCTCTTGAAATTATCGTGTCTTCTTTGATTATAAAAATCCGCATTAACTGGTACACCTGGTACTTTAAAAATGTACAGAAGGGCCACCACTGGTGTGGCTCAGTAGTTGAGCATCGACCGGTGCACCAAGAGGTCACTAGTTTGATTCCCGGTCAGGGCACTTGCCCAGGTTGCAGGCTTGATTCCCACTAGGAGGCATGCAGGAGGCAGCCGATCAATGTTCTCTCTCATTGACATTTCCATCTCTCTCCCTCTCCCTTCCTCTCTAAAAGCAATCTATAATAATAAAAGCATAATATGGTGATTAGACTGGTTGTCCTGGATGATGCCGAGGCTGCAAAGGAAGTCCAGATCCCGGATGCCAGAGGGAAGCCGGTGCCGGCAAATGGGGGGGTGGGGGTGAGGCTGAATTTCAGGGACTGACACGCACTCATCTGTCTGTGTACATCGTCCTATGCAGGTAGCCACCACCACAGCTCCCTCTCTAGCCCACTCCCCAGCGCCTGAGCAGCCATGAACCTGTTCTCCATCTTCCTAGCCTACTGTTTAGAGAATATAATGCAAGTAGAGTCGGGAGGCCTATGAAAGTGCTTTCTTAACCAGCGCATTCTCTGGGGATGCAGCCAGCTGCTCCTTGGACCAGCAGCCCACCCTTTTCCTGCTGAGCAGTTCGCCTGGTTTGACCGCTGTTAACCACTCACCCGCTAAACAGCTTTGGCGTTAGGTCCAATTTGGGGCTCTTAGCATAAAGCTGTCATGAACATGCATGTACAGGTTTCTACATAAACATACGTCTCATTTCAATACATTATTGCCTACGAGTGTAAATGCTGGGTCATGAATTAACTACAAATTTATTTTTATGAAAATCTGCCAAACGCTTTTCCAAAGTGGCCCTCCTACTTCCTGTTCCACCAGCAATGAGAGTACAATCTCCCCACATCCTCGTTGGTGTCGGTGTTCTCATAACTTCTGAAACCAGAGACAGCCACGTACGCTTTTGCACTCAGACTTCTGCACTGCCAGGAACCACAATGCCTCAGCCTGACAGCAGCACTGACATCACCCCGTGAGGAACCCTCCCCGCACAGCACCTGGCCTACCTGCGTCGGCGTGATGATGGGCACCCCGCCCACAATGTCCGTCCGGTAGGACACCTGCTTCTTCCCACAGTCCCCCGGGCGGCTCGGGTTTTCAGAATGAGGCTGTGCGTCTGACTGCTTTGGTACCTAAAACAGGAAGGGAAACGAATGATTTTGCAACCAGCATTCCAGACACCCTTTTACCACAGAATTTCCAGCTTAGTCTGCTTACATAACACTAACACGTGTACGAACTAGTGACAGTGTGTGTGCCTCTGTGAGTGCTCACACGACCACAGCCACCATTACCGAGGGCCCCGAGGGCAGGACTGGTTCCCCCACTCACCTCATCGTCCCGCCCAGCCCTCTCCTGAGGGCGGGTTCCCGGCTACCCCGAGACAAGGCTCCAAGGCCAGAGACACCCCGTTCCAGCCAAGTCGGCGCGACTGTTGCCCACACTCAGCCGCCACATACACCCGCTCCCGGGACCTAACGCCACGTGTAGCTGAGCTGCCATCTCTCCTTCCCTCCAGCCCACCCAGGACTCTGCATGTCCCTGTGGACAGGAACGGTGGCGTATTCGCCATTTCTGGCTTTGGGGCACAGCTACTACTGGGCAATACAGTCTTCAGTACATGTTGGAAGACTGACTCAATGGAACAATCTAAAAGCAGGAGACCGAAATATATATAGTTTTTATTGATTTTAGAGAGAGAGGACGTGAAAGGGAGAAACAATGAGACAGAAACACTAACATCAATTAGCTGCCTCCTGCACGCCCCCTACAGGGGATCGAGCCCACAACCCAGTCACGTGCCCCGACCGGAATCGAACTAGTGACCCTTGGTGCACGGGTGATGCTCAACCACTGAGTCCCCCAGCTAGACAGAACTTGTTGGGACTTTAAAAACTCTTAAGGAATTCCAATACCCGTATCCTAGACAAACCCACAGAACGGGGAACGGCTGCTAACATAGGATTTCCTAGGTGAACGGACACCTCACCAATGTGGAAGCAAAGGCACTGCAGCTGCTTCATGTCCTGTGACCGGCCGCGAGCTCACTCGGGAAGGCTGCAAGCTGCTGTCAGTGGGAACTGCCAGGTGGTCAGCTCGGCCAAGGGCCTGGGCCATCTCTCTAAGGCAGTGTTTCTCAAAGTGTGGTACGCGTACCCCCAGGGGAACGGGAAGAGTTTGGTGGGGGTATGTATTGCACCGGAGTTTGGTGGGATATGCCCTGCACCGTGCTTAGCTGTGCCTAATTCTATGCTCTCATGAGTACGAGGGTACTCAGCGTTACGAAAATTATAGAAGGGGTACACGTATGTCAAAAGTTTGGGAAACACTGCTCTAAGGGATTCCCACAGAGATTGGCAGGAAGAGGTGGAAGCCCTCAGTGACGGCCTCTTAAGGACAACTTCTGCTGAGTCAGTTACAAAATGGCTTTCTTGAAGCGCACAAACCTGAAGTAACTTCTGCTTCTGTGGAGCAGATGTGCAGATGCGTGCGTGGGTGTTTGTCAGAGGTGGTGGCAGGCTGCTCAGTGAGAGGCCAAAGCGCCGGCACCCCGAGCAGCCGCGGTGTGACTCCGCCCGAGGGCGACGTGAATGTGGACCGAGCACGGCGATGTTTATGGAGGAGACTGTCTGGGTCCGTAAACACACAGGCCCCACAGAAACCCTCCTGCCCTTTCTGTGCAGGCCCACTATGTGCTTCCCCCCCCCCCCCCCCCGCCCCGTGCCGGGAGGAAAGAGGTGAGGGTATCACCGGGGTCAGACCCCATGTCCTTGCTGACCTCCCAGTGGGAGGACAGGGCAGGACCGCAGCTGGCTGCAGTGTGGGGCCTTCACAGCAGTGGCTCACAGCTTCCCTCACCAGCAAGGGAACTGTGCAAGGCACTCAGCCCTTTTTATTGCATTTTATTTATTAAACTTAATTGTATTTTATTTATTAAACTCTGGTCAGCAGGAGGATATGGGGTTCAGGTGTGGGTCTCTGACAGGATGTCTGTGCTGCACTGTGTCCCCCCAGCCACACCCTTTCCCGTCACCTCAGGTACTGACCCTCCCAGTCTCGGCCCCCCCTGCGTTAGGTAGGCCTCAGGGCAGGCCCGGCGCAGGTGACATCCAACACACTCACGCCTTCGGAAGACCAAGAAGGAAAGCCGCTCGTGAGGTGGCGAGTGCTGGCACTCCAGGGGGAAAGCAATGCGGCGAGAAGACGAGAGCCTGAGACAAACTCCGAGGCCCGTCCGATCCGTCCCTCAGCCGTGCTCAGTCCAAGCCCTCACCCCCTCACCCCCCAGCAGCAGCCCGGTGGAGGGGGGCAGGAACCCTGCTCCCTCCGGGGTGGAGGCGGAAGACTCCTGCTCTGGAAGGAAAGCCCCACACGCCCTCCAGGCAGAACTCTGCGTGCATTTCCCAGACACGTGGCCACAGCAGGGCTGGAACCCCGGGACGCAGAGTGGGCTGGCCCCCCCTTCCTGGGCGGGTTTAGGGCACAGTCACCACGGACAGGAAGTGCATTCACATTCTAAACACCGATCTCATCCATAAACCATGAGAACTATAATACCTACTGGGAATTCAGTCGTTATCCAGTAGGTGTGTTTGCAAAATGCACAATGACTTCCAGACATTAAAACTTTAAATACAGACACTTACTGTAATTTTTATAGCTTTGTTCAACACATTGACCCATTCTACCAGGTCCTGCTGGTCATTGGCTTGTAGGAAATATTTCCTCATCCCTGCGTTCATCACTGTTGAGAGAAAAAATAAACTAAAATACGTGAAATTGGGCACTTATTACCTCCAGGTTTGTGTTTGTAGCAAATGAAACCCCATGCTAGGGTCAATGCTGTGACCTTCCTAACACTGCTGCTATCACTCAGGAACAGGGTAACGTTCTCCCACTAAACAAAAGCCCCACAATATACTCGCCCACCCCATGATGGGCATGGCGGCCGCTCCAATGTTTGAAATTATAGACTGTCCCAATGACATCCATTTCTCCATACTCAGGCTGGCATTCCCATGGGTAAGTTTCTGAACATGGACACGCTGGAGCAAAGGGAACTGATATTAGACGTTTTACAGATATTGGCAAGCCGTCTTCCCAGCAGGTAGACTCCCTTTATGTTCCCGCCAAGCAGGAGACCCTTGCCCGAAGGTGCCTCCCGGCACTGCCCCCGGCGCCTGGAGGGCCCCCCCCACCCCAGCTCTCCGGATCCTCACCTCTCCCCAAACCCCACTGCAGCCCCAGGGCCTGGACTCCCCCTAAAGTTCTCACCCTTCCTCTCCTTGCCGCCACCACCCTCATCCAGGCCCATCTAAACAGGGAACAGTTTGAAAGCTACTTAACTCATCTACCAACATCAAAACTCTATTATCCATACAAAAAAAAAACCTACCTTCACCTATGCCCACTTCCCAGATGCTAATTCCTTACCCATCGCTTAAAAATAAAGTGTTACCTCAGTCTCTCCCCTCCCTCCAGCTTCACAAGTCTCCTCTCCCCCCATGTGCCCCTCCCCCCTGCACCTGCCCCCTTCTCCCCAGGGCAAAGGATGGTCAGGTGAGCGGACACCACCTCCAGGGTCCCCTCAGTCAGGGTGGCTCCCTGGCTCCCGAGATGCCCAATGAGGATCTGAAACTTCACACCTTTCCTCTCCTCCTGATGTGACAGACACAGGTACCAGTCATTACTAGCAGCCCCAGTGCCAAACATGGCAGACACCTATCAGACATTCTAAGTGCCTGATAAAAAGGTCATCAGCTACCCTCAGCTAGCCCAAGGGGTAGGGGGGTGGGGAGGGTAGACTGGGGAGACACCTGAGAGGGGGGAGAGAGGGGATGGGGGACAATAGGGGGGTCGGGGAGAGCAGCAGCTCCCCTTCCTCCCCAGAGGCGGCTCCGGGGAGCCTGCCTGAGAACAGCCGCTCAGCCCTCAGGAGTGACTGCTTCCTCCACGACAGGACGCAGTGACGGGAATTCAGAGCCAGGCACGGAAGACAGGTACTCACCAAAACAGAACTCCGCCTTTGGCCTCAGCTTAGTGGCGTCGCTCACCTGCCGGAAAGAGAGGAGTCACTGCTGCCGCACGGACACCGCGGCCGGCCCACGCGGTGCCACGGCCGTGCCCGCTCTCCCCATCACCGCCGCCACACACAGAGGGGAGCAGACTCGAGCCGCTGAGAAAGGACCACGTTTGTGTGTGGCTGCGGCTCCCCTCAGGAGCCGCCTCCAAGTGCTCTGAGCAAACCTGTTTCTCCCACAGGAAGCGTGAGAACTCAAAGTAAGCCTGTGAGTTTTATGTCACGCATACAGGTGTTTGTCGTTTAGCGTGTTTTTCAAAACACCTCTACCAACCTATGAGTTCCTCCCAGACTGTCTGTTTCTAAGCTAGCCTGAGCTCTAAGGGAAGACAGGGTGGGAGAGGGAATGCTTAAGGAAGTCCCGCAATCAGCAGGCACGAAACCGCGACGAGGAAGCAGACTGGCCCGGATCCTCTCCGGGACACACGGGCAGGGTCGCCAGCCCGTGGTCCGCAGCACTGGTGGTCCGCAATCCGAAAGGTGGGCGGGCGCCGCAGTGGAGCATCGGGGGAGGGGCTCGTCACCATGCAGCACAGGCTGCTTCCAGAAGAGAGGCCCGCCCGCCCCAGCGCGCTGCCCTCCTGTTGGTGACGCAGCCCCCGGAGCCCATTCATGCCCACAGCCTGCTGTGCCCAGCGTAGGACTGACACTGGAGCATCTGTTTTACCACGTGACTCAGCTCTAAGCCACAGCTCTGAGTCACACGCAGTGTGCTCCAGGAGTAATTCTGGGGAAAGTGGCCTGTCTCCAAGTGAGTACAAACCCTACCACTCACACTTGCTAAGTTGGGGGCAGAGGTGAAAGTTAACAGAGAAAGTGACGTCCTCAAAGGGAAGCAAGGGGAAAGCAGCTGCCGGGCAGCCCGTGGCTTAGTCAACAGCTCATTTTCACCGAGATCCCATTTTCCACTGAGACACAAAGTTACACTGAATGGAAACTGTAACTGAAAAACTAAAAACTAAAAGAAAGCATCCTTGATTAAAATCAAGTACAAATAAAGTGCCAATATAAAGAAAAATAAATAAAAGCACACTTTACCTTGGAAAAATTTAGAAATAAAAAGAGCTCCCGTTTTTAAAAAGACCAGGCAACAAGCAACTGTGGTAATGACACGAACAGATGGACAACGGTTCCCTCAATGCCTGTGCCAGGAAAATGGCTTTCCCCGACCTCACTGAGGGAGAGATGCAGGCAGCACACTGATGCCACAGTGCACGCATGTCCGCCAGTGCACGCATGGACACCACAGTGCATGCATAGATGTCGCAGTGCACGCATGGACACCACAGTGCATGCATGGATGTCGCAGTGCACGCATGGACGCCTCAGTGCACCCATGTACGCTGCAGTGCACTCATGGATGCCACAGGCAGTCAAGCAAACTGGGGACCTGGGTCTCCTGCACCAGGTATTCTATGCTTACTATTAACAGTCTGTATAGACTTTAAGCTGCAAGCTACCCTGAAGTATTTATTAAATGTCTTAATTTAAAAAGAGGAAAAAAAAATTTTCAAAAAGTCTTAATTTATAGGAACATTTGTTTCATAAATTTACATTATATGGCCTTAACATAAAAAGTTTCCCTTAAAACATGTGATCTTTATTGTCCAATGACTAATTCTTTTGTCAATGAGAATGAATAGTTCTATTGTTATACTGATAACGAAGTATTTTATTTATAAAAATATCTTTTAAACAGAGACACACTGTAAACTGGTCTCTTGTTAAAGACCTTGCTGACAAATTCTGACATATGCAAAACAATAAGCATATGCATCTTTTTAAGCTACTATGTTGCTACTTTTCAAATCTCAGATCTTAAATCATCCACAAAAAAATAACACACAAAAAAAAACCCAGAATAGAAAATACCTGACATTATCAAATCAAAATTTTTGAAAAGAAAACTACTATTACAAAAATGCCAGAAAAGCCCAGCTGGTGTTGTTCAGTGGTTAAGCACTGACCCGATAACCAGGTCACGGTTTGATTCCCTGTCAAGACACATGCCTAAGTTGTGGGCTCGATCCCCAGAGGCAGCCAAACAATGATTTTCTCTCATCACTGATATTTCCATCTCTCTCCCTTTTCCTCCCTCTCTGAAATAAAAATATTTTTTTTAAATACCAGAAAAATCAACACACAAGGAAACGCATTAGTAGAGAGAAAGTTAAAGATTGGGGGTGGGAGGAATCACTCTGTTATCATAAAGACTAGAGGCCCAGTGCACAAATTTGTATCTTAATTTAAAGGTCCCTCAGCCTGGTCTGCAGGATCAGGCCAAAAACAACTCTCCTACATCCCCTGAGGGGTCCCAGATTGCAAGAGGGTGCAGGCCAGGCCGAGGGACCCACCGGTGTATCATCGGGGCCAGGGAAGGACACGGCCAGGGAGGGACTGCGGGAGGGCTCCAGGGCATACCTGACCCATCTCACTCAGTCCCGATCAGCCAGATCCCAGCAGCAAGCTAACCTACGGGTCAGAGTATCTGCCACATGACAGACACTGGTCAGTGCACATCATAGTGAGCAGTTGAATGGCCTTAGCATAACATTAACATAATACACTTTGATTGGTTGAACGGCTGATCAGATAACTGGACACTTAGCATATTAGGCTTTTATTATATAGGATGGTTCATACTTTCCTCAAAATAAAGCATAAAGAAAAAATAAAGGTAATGGAAACAGTTTAATGTAATACAGACTTAGAAAAATGTTCTCTGTTTCCCATAGAACCTAATTGCTGATTTCTCTCCTTCTGATGTTCACTAATCTCATCACAGAAGTTACTGTAAAAGTTTACAATGTGTTACATCTTGTAAGTTAATTCCATATCCTAACTTTATCAAAAACATGCTAAGCATAGTATTCAGGTCCTATTTTCAGTATTATTTGAGCCTGAACTTCATCATTAAATGACATAGAAAGGAAACTGTTCCTTTTGTTCACACTGCCATTCTAAAAGACTTCAATTCAAGCATAAATGTAATTAGTACAGAAAGATCACCTTTGAAATGTAGGTAAGTTTAATGGCTCCAACCCGTGATGACCCAGAAGGGAGGTTCTAGAAGAAATTATTAATACAGAGTTAATATCCAACCTCATGACTTTGTTGTAATTCTCTACACATTTAAAAAGTTAACAAATTGAAACTTTTAGTATCACATTTTATAAATCAGCCTTTTCAGTTCAAGTGCCTCCTAGGTCTGAAATCAGTCTGCTATCCATCTTGACAACATGGATAATAGTCTACTGTCTCACCGCAGCAGACTCTGTAACCACAGAGCTGTCTGTGCCACTGAGACTGAGCTCTTCCTGAGCGTAAAGCCCTCGCCGCGTGGCTGCTGCTGAGCATCACCCTGTGCCTGAGAGGCTGTCAGTTCACGTCCTGGCCAGGCACAGTCCCGGGGGCAGACTCAATCCCAGGACGGGGTGTGCAGGAGTAGCCAATCTACACTTCTCTTTCACTGATGTTTCTCTCCCTCCCCCCTACCCCCCACCAGGAAGGGCGCTCACTGACACGCTAGTTCTCACAATGGAAGGCCGACATGGTGCAGGAGCGAGCTAGTGCGCAGCGTGTTGCCACCTTAGGCACAGCGGCTCATACCTACGGCAGCAGTCGCCAGCAGTGGTCGGGGACTGCTGTCCGCGCGGTCTGAAAGGTCGGCACTGCTAACTAAAAGTTCTACGTGTTCTCGCAGAGCTCGTGCTTCTCACCCACGGAGGAAAGGCATAGCTGACGCACCCATTTTTAACAAATAAATTTGTTTCATCTTCAGAGACAGCAGGAGCTGGGGCAGGGCAGAGAGAGTGCCCGCGCAGAAACAAGTCTAAATACATACTATTTTGGAAGACAAATCACAACATCACAGGACGTCAAATGCTTTGACAACGAACACTCTGGCATGCTTTTGAAGAGAGGAAGCCCCTTGGATTTTACAAACCTGTGGATTGTCCATGTACCATACAAAACTGTCTTCTCTGGTATCCAGTATGAAGTACCTTCGAAGAAATTTACCACTGTTCTCATTTTCTTCGATGTCTAGAAAACCACAGATGCGGTTCTGACGATCCACATAAGGCATTTCTGAGCTTGCACATCACACTGTAAGACAGAAGCACCACGGGTCAGTGTTTCTCAGGGACCGTGAGGACACCCTGTGCTGTGGTAGGATTTCTCCAGCCACTTCCGACAGCAGGTGGAGCGGGTCAGGGTGAACGCGTACAAAGCCTGGGCCGAAGTCACTTTTAAAATCAGGGCAGCTGTTCACACGGAGAAGGGCGGAGGAGGCTGGCGCCTCACCTGAATAACGCGCGTACTTACTTTTCCCCACACCCACCCAAGTGGACCGAGGACTCAACCACCCCCACTTGCATCTCCTCACCTGTAAGTCAGGACAGTCTGCCTTTCAGGCTGCTCCAGAGGATCTAAATACACAAAAAACGGTGGCGAACTTCCACCGGCCGCTGACTGTGCTGGGCTCTGGGCTTCCTTCCCACGCACTTCCTCGTGTGATCCTCAGTGACCTGAGTGGCACCATCTTTCCCATTCCAGACAAGAAGCTTCCCACTGGGGAGGAAGTGCTTCCCCAGACCAGAGAACCAGTAGGAAACGGATCAAAACGTGACCAGATCCTTGGACTCTGCAGCTTGTATTTAATCTCTACACCACTCTGCCTCTCCAAAACCTTTCCATTCTTAAACTAAAACAAATCAAAACAAAGCCAGCTACCATCATGAGGAGAGAAGCAGGCACTGCGCGCCTCCTGACGGGCTGTAGCACCGCCGATGACGTGAACCTGCTGTGGCCAAGAGAAAGCTGCCTGTCACCTGCATCTCTCACCGAGCTCCCCATTCCCAACCACCGAGGGCCAGGACAGGAAGGACACTGAGGAACCCGATAAACTGGGTTCAATCACCAAAGCCACACGGGAGAGGCCAGGACACAGCCCTGTTTCTTCAGCAAAACTATGCCTCTGGGCAAGGAGAGGGTGCGGGCGAGGGAGGCCCGGAGACGGCGCACTGTGGTCTGAAGGGCTGGCCTTGCGCTGCACTGATGAACGTGAGAACCGGGACCTGGGTCACAGACAGGATGGCAGTCACTCTCTCTAGAAACACGCGAGGGCTCCATCCTGACGAGCCTGGCGCCTGTGTCCAGCAGCTCTGGGGCAGAAAAGATTTCTCTGACCGGCTCTGGTTTAAAGGCTCAGGAAGGTTAACTCAGAGAAACTCCGTCAGGACGAGCAGACTGCACTACCTGATTTCCAGTTTCCAACGAAGCCACAGCAATAAACACAGGGTAGGGCTAGTGAGAAGATGGTCCTAATGAATCAACAAAACTCAGAGCACCCAGAAACAGAACCACACGTGCTGTCAACGTTGTCAACAAAGGCGTTCCCCAGGGGATGGCGCCGGCCCGCCACTGTCCGTGTGAAACCAATCAGCTCAAAGTGGCCAGGGCCTAACTAAAGGCTGCAGCAGGGCAGCTCCCAAGAAACACCGGGAGCCAGTCCGAGGGCCCTGTGTGGAGCCGGACATCAAACAACACGGAGCAGCTGGGACAGTAACAGCTCCTACACTGGACAGAGTTACAAGTAAGGGCTTCTCTTTGAAGGAAACAGTAAGAAATCAAAACAAAAAAGAAAGAACAAACAAACAAATCCAAAGACAAATCACAGACGGGAGAAAATATCCAGTACATTTATACCAAATAACCGATATCCAAGAACAGACAAAGAATTATTATTATAATAAAGCAAACAACCATGTAGAAAAATGGGCAAAAAACATGTAGACAAGCCAAAGAAATATATCTATATGTGGTAAATCAGCACATAAAAAGATGATCATCATTACTCAGGAACACCAGAAGATGCCACCACATACCTACGAGAATGGCTAAAACAAACAAAAAGCACCTAAAAGCAAACAAACAAAAAACCTGGCACTACCAAAGGCTGACAAGCATGAGCAAATGAACACTCTGGCATACAGATGATGGGAATGCAAAATGACATGGCACCATGGGAACACAGTTTGGCAGATTCTTATGAAGTTATATACATATTCTTATGATATGAGCCGGCAATCCCACTCTTAGGTATTTATCCACGTGAACTGAAAGCTTATATTCACACTAAACACCTGCATAGAAATGTTTATAGCAACACTGTCCACACCTGGCAAAAGCACAAACACCCTAAATGTCACTCCATCTGGTAAATGAATGAACTCTGGTAGGCCCTATGGAATACCAATCAGCAATGTAAAGGACAAAGTGACTGATACACACCACATGGGTAAATCTCAAACGTACTTTGGGAAGATAAAAAGGAAGGAGGGAAGGAGGGAAGAAAGGAGGGAGGGAGGGAGGAAGAGAGAGAAGGGAGGGAGGGAGGGGGAAAAGGAGGGAGGGAAGGAGGAAAGGAGGGAGGGAAGGAGGAAAGGAGGGAGGGAAGGAGGAAAGGAAGGAGGGAGGGAGAGAAGGAAGGGGAGGGAGGGAAGGAAGAAGGAAGGGAGGGAGAGAGGGAGGGAAGGAAGGGAGGGAGGGAAGAAAGGGAGGGAGGGAGGGAGGGAGGGAGGGAGGGAGGGAGGGAGGGAGGGAAGGAGGAAGGGAGAGAGGGAGGGAGGAAGGGAGGAAGGGAGGGAGGGAGGGAGGAGGGAGGGAGGGACTGAGACAGCTCATATCTCAGCAGGTGGGGAGGGGGAGACTGGTTTCTCTGCTGGAGCACAGGCTCCAGGAGAGCAGGGCTTGTGTTTCTGGGGACCAGTGCTTTTCTAATGCCTGAAACAGCTGCTGGCACATGGGAGGCACTTGGTGACAATTTGTTGAGTGAAGTGTTAAGAAACCCATAATTACTGCAACTAATCTGAATGTTTAATTTTCCAAAAACAAACTTGCATCTTCATCAGACAAGAAATCATCCAGCAGATTTATCGGACTGGTTTGTTTAGACGACAGATGGAAAAGGTTCACACACTATATTTCTGTATGGATTTGTATCGTTTTTAGTCAAGTTAGTATGAGGCAAGAATAGATAAAATGATATGACTAAAACATCCCCAATATTTATCCTTCAGCATTTCTTATGCTCTAACATATCCTATATAATAAAAGGCTAATATGCAAATTGTCCCCTTGACCAGGGGGCATGGCCAGCCACGGCCCATGGTCCCGCCCCCTGGCCAGCCCAGCCTGATTGGCGCAGGCCTGCCAGCCCCAGGGCCCAACCCCACCTGAGCACAAATTTGCACGCCTCGCCTCTAGTGATTAGATAATACAATCAGTGATAAATTAACAAACTTGTAGTTAATACTTCATCAGCAGGAACCAGGAAGTAAGCCAAAAAAGTGAAAACAGAAGTCAGAGACCGAAAAGAAAAAGAAAGGAGTGAAGCTCTGCAGAGTGAGGCCTGGCTAGGCCTCAGGACCTTGCTCTTGTTACCTGGATGTTGTGTGAGACCATCCTGATTCTCCCCAAACTGCCGACACACACACAGCTAAGCAGGTACGGGCATCGGCCAAACCTCTGGGGAGCCCATACAGACATCCCCCCAGACCTCTGGGCTCCCCACCATACACACAGCTGGTGTGAATCACTCAGAAGTCCTGTAAGTCTCCGGGGAGAGCACAGGGAACAGAGGGGCACTCACCCCAAACGGGGGCAGCGGACACTAAGAGCATCGTCCACGAGAGAAGGGCCAGAGAGCCCAGCACCCTTCTCTGGTTCAGTGTCTGCACAGGAAGTGCAGGCCAGGAAGGGGGCCACCGCTCAGTCACAAGGAAATGGTGTCAGTGGGTTCCGGGAAGCTGCAGGAGGTAACCAGGGGGCTATCTCGCTGGCGTGAACGAAACCGGCCGCACGAGAACACACCCCCAGGAGCCCGGGAGGACTGGCAGGGACAGGAGAGGAGTGCAGGCAGCCGTCAGGCCCGGAACTCGGGGTGAGGGTGCTCCCTGCACCAGCTCCCCAAAGCCCTGGTGGACTCCTGTCAGGACCCTGGCTGCCACTGAGAGCTTTGGTGTTTGTTTTTAAAAAAAATATATTTGTATTGATTTCAGAGAAGGGAGAGGGAGAGAAACATCAATGAGAATCATTCATCAGCTGACTCCTGCATTCCCCTACTGGGGCTCGAGACTGCAGCCCAGGCCTGTGCCCTGACTGGGAATGGAACCGTGACCTCCTGGTTCCTAGGTCGGCGCTCAGCCCCTGAGCCAGCTCTGATACTCCCACGCTAGCACTACTCTCCTTCCACTGCTTCCTCTGACCAGAGATCCCAAAGAAGGCCTGCCCCGGGCACACCCCCACCCGCCCACCCAGGGCTCCTGCACGTGGCCCAGCCCTGGTCAGTAAGGGAGAAGAGCGTCACAGCACAGGAGACCGAGGTTTACCCAGAAACAGGTTAAGCTGGAGCTTTTTAAAAAAATATATTTGTATTTATTTTTTACAGAGAGGAAAGGAGAGGGATAGAGCTAGAAACATCGATGAGAGAGAAAAATCGACCAGCTGCCTCCTACACACCCCAACCGGGGATGTGCTTGCAACCAATGTACATGCCCTTGACCGGAATCGAACCTGGGACCTTTTAGTCAGCAGGCAGACGCTCTACCACTGAGCCAAACCGGTTTCAGCAAAGCTGGAGCTTTAACAGCTGTGCATGCAGAGAAGCCATCAGCTGCCCACGATGCCATGAGGCAGGAGCCAGGGCGAGAGGGACACCTACAGATCACACGAAAAGCGGAGGGTGTCAGGGGTGTGTGTGTGTGTGTGTGTGTGTGTGTGTGTGTGCTCTCAACAGCGGCGACATACAGAGCAGCACTACTGCCAGGGGGGGCGGGGACCACACCTGACCCAGGGCTCCCGGGGGCACATGCCCTCAGTGCCCGTGGCCGGCCTTTCTCTGGAAGAGGGCCTGCGGGCCCAGAACCCAGAACCGGGCTCCAGTCTAAGCCACATGAATGGGCTCAACCACACCTGCTGGAGGGCACCCCCGCCAGACTGACGGGTCCCAGGGTTTCTCACAGGAAACTGACAGGCAGGGACTGACCGGTCAGACCCTCAGACGTACTCACAGGTTTAAGAAGA